GCAGGACATGACATGAGCAGAAATTTAGTCCAGAAAAACTTTGCATGATTCAAGCCTTTGCGTGGTCACTCTGCAAAGACACGGATTTATCCACTTGTGGGTACAACACACCTGGACTCCTGTTTGTTTGGTTTTCTGGACACGTGTGCGTGGATTTTCTCTCTTTTCAGAGGGTGCGTTCAGGGTCGGGGGCTGCAGTAACGCCCTGGTCGCCTTTGTGGCTACAATGAAAAGCCCAGCAGGGAGCACGGAGCCTCGCTTGTGCTCAGCAGAGTTTATTAAAACCGCAAAAAGGGTGAGTGGCCGCAGATGGTGCTGTCAATAACAACTCAGCCAGCCGTGCGAGTCCTACGCTCGTGCACAAACGCCACACCCGGTGCCATACCAGCGCGTGGAAACACCCCACAGACACACACACAGCTCTGGAAGGAGGGGCAGTAAAAACAGATGGTAGGTGTGAGAACGGACGTGTGATGCTGTGGAGAAGTGCGCCGCGAGGCTTTAGGATTCCATTAGTCCTTCAGCCTCTAACCTCCATCAACACCTCTGAGATGGCGCTGAGACGGAGCGTGCACCAGGACACGCCGTGGTGTCGCAGCTCCACTCAAGTGTTCGCTGTAGCTGGTGTCCCTGCAAAAACTGCTCTGCAACCTGAACTAGCTGTAAATGGTTCGCTGAGGCCAGAAGGAGAGCTAAGAATCAAAGGTAGAGGTGAGTTACCGTAAATCAGAGCCTCTGCATGACTGAGCATGCTCAGAGCGTCACTGCGATGGGCGCTAATGGGACAAAATCTGACCGTCACATAAAGGTCAGGTTATAGAGACAGCTGGCTTCAGATCAGCTCACACGCTGAACTCACCGCTGATAATATTCACCGAGCAAGAAGGCAGAAGTGACGCGAGGACGTGAGAGTCTGACAGCTGCTCTAACTGTTGAAGTCCTTCTGTTTCCTCAGAGTGTCTGCAGGTTTATCAAGCATCAGGTTGAACAATCAGCCTGTATTTCATTAATATATCAGTCAGTGGACGTCATCGATTCTTCACTGACTGTAGTCACACATCAGGCAGCTTCAGAGCCGGCTGTCCAACACACTGCTTCTTGTTCAGTCACAACAGCAACGACTTACTGAACTACTCTGATTATTTATGGCACAAAACTTGAAATCTTCTGAATCCAGCGTCTTAAATTGTTTAATTTTCTGGTTTCTTTACACCCCAGAGTGAAAAAACGAGAACTTTGAGGACGCCATCTTTGGTGTCATCGACTTTTCTGATATTTTATAGACTCAACAACATAACTGACGAGTTCTTTAAAAATGAAACTAACCGCTGATTGCAGTCCTAAACAAGGAACGTGACCAAGAGCACTGAGGCACCACAGTTTGGGCTCACTGAGGTCGTGAGTACTTCAACAATTATTTAATCAAAATAATATCAGGGCTTTGAATTACCAAAAGACAACTCAAACAATGATCCAGAGAGGGGCCTGTGCTCCAGTAAGATGTGTTATTGGCTGTTTTATGGATGAACAAAACACTGAATGTAATGTTGGAATGAATAAAAGACAGTCGAAGGAATCAAGGACACGTTCTGGATTCACTTTGCGAGTGAATCTTCATATTTCTGCTCCTAAACAGACTATTTGCTGAAGTCAAACATTTCCAGTGTTTTCTAATGTAATTGTTTTTTAAATAAAGAGACGGCAGCTCCAGCAGACCAGACTCTCCATCACACGCTCAGGTCTGCTGACATGCTCCATTTATTTCACTTAAAACCAGGAAAGACTGATTTAAAGCCAAATTACAGTCCTGACTCTGCGTGATGTGCACATGTCCCATATGTCCGACATCTGGATGGCGGTCAACACGTACATCTTCTGCCTTCAACTGGACGGTGATAATTCCTACTCTTAGTAAACTGTACGTACTTTTAACCGCAAGACAAATCTTAATAATGAGAGCGATGCTGAAGACCGCTCCACCTCTGGGCCGCTTCCTGCCTTTAATCCTTCTGCATACAAACATGCAGGAAGTTCTGTCGCTCTGCAGAGGGGCAGATGTGAAACAACAGGTCATGGGGCAGCTCTCATAATGATCCAGGAGAGGATCTCCGTCAGAGGCTCAAGGGGGTCCTGCCATCTGAGTCACGACCCCCAGGCCACAAACAGCAAGCCCCACTCTGACATCAGACCAGCACCACGAGGAGCCCAGCAGCAGCAGCAGCGTGGCCCGCTCCACCAGATCCACACAGAGAATGCCAGCGAACCCACAACCTTCCCCTCGCTGGCTTAGAACGCCTCTAATTGACTGCAACTGATGTGCACTATAAAGCACAAACAGATTCCTCTGTCTCAACCCAATCTCCTTAATGTTGTTGTTTTTCCAAAAACAAGCCGAGTCTTGATGTAGATGCCAATTCTTAGCAATTAGCAAAAATGTAATCCCCATGCTACAGAGATTTTCTCAATAAAAGGATAATTTCCTTCAATTGCCAAAAAGGCATCCGTTTTCATGTCATCTGTGGGAGGTAAAAAAAAAAAGAAAAAAGAGGCTGTGGAGGGTACTTAAGAAGTGAATGTCAGCTGAATGACAAGCCGGCCTGAGAACAGTAGAGTCAGCCTTCAGACAGACAGAAAACTACATTAAATACGGGCTGGCCTGAACAGCGGTCCCACTCAGCTCACTGCTGCTGCCACGAACAAACACTTCACAAACAGAGCAGACATGAAAACGACGACTCTCAGGAGAAAAATCTGACTTGTTGGTGTAAACAAGCGGAGCTGCCGGATGATTGGATGACGGCAAACGATGACGGTGCACATGTCTCCTGTCAGAACCGGGCCAGAGGGCTTCGGTCTGCACACAAGTGTGGTTACGTAAGCTGAAGCAGAACCGGCCCGCCGGATATTTGTCAAAATATTGTGAAAATGAGACGATTTTTTGTGTTTTTTTGAAGCTGTGAGACGAGCAGAATGCAGGCCAGGAGATCAAACATCAGCTCCAGCTGCTCCCAGGGCTGTGTGTTGTTCTGCTTCCTGACTAATCAATGCCTGCTCACCAGAACCTGCCTGTGGCTGTCACAGGTCCACTGCAGATGTCATCCCACTCATTATCACTCATTAAAGGCTTCAGAATCAGGAGCTGCACAAAAACTGAACAACCCACATGACTATAGTTTTAGCTTTTTTATTCCAGGTACCAGTTACTCACATCCTAATGAGTGTGGGAGCTACAAAACAAAGCGGGTTGTGGGAGTGATCTGACCTACTAAAGACTCTGGTTGTTACGTTGGACAACAAGCATGAACACATCAGGGTTTGGAAATACGGCGAGTCTGAGCAGAAAATAAACAGAAAGATGCTTCTGGTTGATTAAAGGTAAAGCTAAACCTGATATAGAGCGAGTACTTATGTGTATTTGGGTTTATTTTTGCACCACATTCCTTCAATGTCTGAACCATCTCTGCTGCTGTAACTGCAGATTTCATCACTGAGGGATTAATGAAGGCTCATCTGACTTCCTCCAAAATGTGTTTTGCTCAAAAAATAAATCTAAATAATAAGAAATAGCTCTCAAATTGAACACCCACAGGTTATTTACAATGCAAAAACAACAGCACTGTATGCAAACAGCTGGGCACTGCCTGTGATCTTCACTCCCCACTAGAACAAACCCACATCCTCATCGGAGCAGCAACAGACCGACTGGAGTGCCTCAGAACTGGATTCTGTCTCTTCAACAAAACAAAGCATGAGAACATTGATTCTACTGAGACTCCAGAACAGCTTCTCTCAGCATCAGGTTGCTGTTTATTATCCCCAGGGTTCTGCATGACAAATGGGAGGCTTCGTCACGTCTTGTTCAGGATCCCCCATGACTGTGCATCACGCTCTATTACCGGCTGAAGCCCTGAGTCATGCACACGGGGGGAAGTAAAGGGTCCTGAAGTACATTCCTGGTAAATGAGACCCTGTGTTCAGCCACATGCAGTCATGTAACTCCTCAGCGGCGGCACCGGACCCTGATAAAGCCCCACCGACCTCTGCTCACCTCCCCGCTCGCCCCCTCTCAGGATGTGAGGCTGGATACGGGGACGTGAATAGGTGGTATGTGAGCACGCTAACGGCTGGCTGGGGGCCAGATCCCCATGGTTACCCAGGAGCAGTGGCTGCCTCCTTCCTGTGTCCTGTCTGTCTGTCTGTCTGACTGTCTGACTGACTGTCTGTCTGTCTGTCTGTCTGACTGTCTGTCAGTCCACTGCTCTGCATGCACGGGGGACTCGAAGGAGACCAGATAAGTTAGTGTGGAATGATCACGGTGCCTCTGAACCACCTGGATCAGGACAAACAGCAGCTTCATGCCTGACAGTGTGTGTGTGGGTTGGTGGCACTAAACCAGACACAGAAGGGGACAGAACAGGTCTTCTTTAGTGCCCCTGAGCAAAACACCGAGGCTCTCTCCATGTGTGCTGCCTGAACTTGTGTCTTCAGTTGCATAATCCTGCTGTGGGGGGAACAAAGCGGTGAGGAGGACGACCAGTAACAGGTTGCATGCAGCAGGCCGAGCAGGAAGAGCTTCACTCAGAGGAGCTGCTTTCTGTCTGCACATAGAAAACACATGCTTTAATGGATATGTGAGCATGTGGAGGACAGAGATCTCCTCTTTGGGCTGCTTTCACTGGCTTTCTCATGCAAAACTACACCAGACTATGAGCCCCTCCTGAACTCTATCACCACTCCTTTATGCTGCTAATCATCTCCTTTATAATGCTGATAGAAACCCTTTATAACATAAAGCACACTCAGGCCTGCGAGCACTTCCACAGAAATCCAAGTTATGGATGTTGGAGATGTTCCGGATGTCCAGGAAACGCCAACAGCAGCTCATATCTACAAAGTTTATTTCCTAAATGTAAGCAGCAGCACCAGTGACTCATGCAGGTAGAGCCGAACCAGTCTGCTCCCAGTAACTCCAGTTCTCCCTCAGATCACAGCCTCCTTACCTTTCACTTGACTCTCGTACTCCGCGATGATCTCTTTATCCTTTTTGAACCTCGGCGTGGACATTTTCTGTCTTCCTGCGTCCGAAGCTTGTTGTAAAAACTTCTTGGTTAAAAAACAAAGTGTTGGTGAAGCAGCCTAGAGCAGCGCGCGCATCCCACAGGACGAGCAGAGGAGCAGCTGGAGGAGCAGAACAGGGAGCACGAAGGAAGAAAAACCGATTCAACTGTGCAACAAGACTTGGGAGCACGAAGGGGAAACGCTCAGCACTTCATTGTTCCCTCCGGCGGACACAGACCAGGGCCAATGCGCAGTCCTGCTCCAGATCCAGATCCAGCTCAGCGACCGGAGTCGGCACCGCGCGCAACAGCGCTGCTGCTGCTGCTGCTACCACAGAAGAAGAAAAACCAAGTTTCAGGGTCTCCGCGGTGGATTTCTACACAAGTAGTGCCAACAAGCGGTCCCAAAGTCCACTGGAGTCGTGAGCGCTGTTTGGGGGTCGTGGTTTCCAGTCCGGGACCCGCAACACGCTTCTTCTTCTTCTTCTTTTTTCTACCCCCTTTCTCTCGCTCTCCCTCGACGGCTCGTCGCTCTTCCCCCTCCTGTAGCTCCCAGCAGGCTCAGAGGCAACAGAGCAGGCAGGCAGGCCGACTGCAGCAGCTGGAGGAGAGGGAGGGACCTGCACCGCTAGTGGACGCCGGTGGACTCACAGTCCTGCTGAAGCCTCTCCTCCACATGAGTCAGCTGCTGGGACTCACTGGCTAATGGGTCCGTCTGGGCATCAGAACCACTACAGAGACCCGTACTACTGCTCAGCTGATGGATTCCATCTGTTATTGCCTTCAGCCCCGGTGGGTCTGAGCTCAGGTGATCAGACTAAGAGCGTCTTTTCTGCCATCCACAGCTGGCCAGGTGGGACAACAGGTAGAACCCTCCCAACAGGAGCCCATAGCTCCGCGCTGCAGACCTGCTCCCTCACAGTGAACCCAAAGCAAACACGTGCTATGAAGCTCTTCATGAAGGATTTAATAAAGATCAACATCAGCATGATTCTGCTCAGCTACACACGTGACCTGATCTGTGTTCATTAAGTCAAAAGTTTTCCTCCTTCAATTTTTTCTCAACTTCATAAAGCTCAAACATCTGAGCTCTAGCTGGTCCACAGCGCCACCTGCAGGCCCGAGGGAAGAAGCACAAGACGAGCACGTCCCTTCAGGACACCACCCCATTTTAGTTTTATTGCACCGTCTGAAAAAAACACAGAAGTCCATGCAGCACAGCACTGAAATAAATAGAAGAGAAAATCTGTCTTTTGTTAGACTTTGAGCAGAAAAGCAGACATTTCACACCAACAACATCCATTTACAAGCTACTCACGATACAAAAGAGATCCAGAGGCGCTCCGTCCTCACAGGCCTAAAAACACAGTCTGTCTACACATGACGCTTAGTGTTCTCTAAAAATCACTATTTTAAGTACAAACAAAGATATAAAACAAAGTAAAATGAGAGCTTTAAAATGCAAAGGCAGCTTAAAAGTCATGATTTCCAAATGCCTGTACATTCCACCGCTGTAAACATTTAGATGATAAATACACATTAATGCCCCGGGGCCTTTACTGACCAGTGAGGGCGGCTCTGACAACACACACGAGTGGTTTCATAATCACCTGCACCAGAATAATACACTGAACATCACCAGGTTCACTATGCCAGTAGTACATCACATTTCTCCACAAAAAATCACAAAATAAATAAGAACCGATGTTGACCCTGTTGATGTCTGACAGCACCGCGCTCAGCCGCTTTTAAAGAAAGTCTCCTCGATGACCTCGGTGAACCTTTCCTTCATCTGCTGCCTGAAGCCGGAGTACCACTCCAGCAGCCTCCTCCTCCTGTCCACCCTCTGCTCCTGGCTCATGCTCCGCTCCCGCTCCAGGATGGCGGGCAGTTCCTTCCAGTCGCTGATGAAGATGAACGGCGCCCCCGCGGCTTTGAGGAGACGTAGCGGCGAGCTGGGCCCCGCCGCACACGTCCCGGGCGTCAGAACATCCTCCACCACGGGCACCGAGCCGTACGAGCAGGCCTCGTAGATGCGGTAACACTCTGTGTTGATCCCGACTGGACACAGGGTGAGCTCGCTCTGGGCCAGAGCTGTCTGATAGCGTCTCAGACTGTCTGCTGTCTCCTGAGGAAGCCACCTGAGGCAGAGGAGAGGAGGCTTCAGCCAACAGTTCAAACCACTGTAATAAATATGCAAGACATACCCCAGTACAGGTCCATTAAGATCAGTTGTCTCACCTCGGCTTCATTTATTATGTAACAGGCCCAAAGAATAAACTTAAATTCTAGTCCTAGAATAGCCATTCCAGGCTTTCCTGACATTTTTATTATTTAAAAATGTGAAGTACTGTGATAGGAGCACAAGCAAGAGCCCATAAATCATGAGAAAAATACTAAAATAGGAGACTTTATAAAGCTGGTGTTACTCACCACATAAAGGAAGGAGACCCGGTCTATGAACAGAACCCATCGACACCCCGTGGTTGTACAGAACTCACTGGACAGTTCTAAACAAGCTGCACTCGGGTGTGTTTGTGTAGAATTTTATTTTCATATCTTCTAACCAATGACTGTCTTCATTGTTGATTATTTAGCTAATTATTTTCTCCATTAATCAATTAACTGTTTGATCTGTAACTGTAAGAAAATGGTGAAAAAGTCCCACAAGTGTCTCCCGCACACCAAGTCGACGTCATCATGACTCTAGATTTGTCGACAACCCAAAGACATTTAGTTTGTTCTCGGTGGAGTAAAGAAACCAGATTATTCAAACTGAAGAGGCTGTAATCGGATAACTTTGTCTTTTTACCTGAAGTATTTACTCACACCAATAAACTGACTGAATAAAACAAACAGTTGTCAGTTAATTCAACAGTAACGTCTAATCATTCGTTCAGATCTTATCTCTGTGGAACACTGACTGTATGTCATAATAACCAGTGTCGAATCATCAGTGCTTGATTATATTCTCCATGGAATTAAGCAAAACTCGGGCTTTAAAATGAACGTACAGACTGTAATTTATTGTTTTTGCTAATCAAAATGCAGCCTTCAGCTGTCTGAGGAGAGAAAACAAACGACTAATTATCACTAATGAAACACCGTCAGCAGCCATTTATGATTTGTTTCTTTTGTGATATTGATCTGTGATAACCAGAGTCACATCAGTCTGTAGGACTTTTTAAAACTACTTGAATTTCATTGTACAAGACGTTAAAAATGATGTGAAACCCCCTGACTTTGGTGTCTCAGTAAGCACGAGTCCTCTAATGACTGCTAACAACAACTTTACCATCATTTTGGTATTAAATAAAAATGCCCTCCGAAGGTTTTACAGAGTTTTAAATTACTATCCTAAATATTTTTTTTTTTTGCGTGTTACAGCGATTAACAGAAAACATGAAGGTTTTAAACTTCCACATGTTATTGAACAGTGACTTACTTTTCCCTGGCGGCAGTGACGCATTCCTTCTCCAGGCCAGAATGTTGGAGCACATGCATGAGTGTTTCTCTGGAGGAGTTTTTGTAAACTGTCCCTAAGAAATTGCAGAGGTATGGCCGGTTGGAGGTAATCAGTTGGGCGTTGGGCCTGATCATAGGAAACTGTCTGTATCTGCAAAAAAACACACACATCAACACAAAAGACAGCCTCACACAGCTGTAGGTTCTGGTGTTGAACACTAACAAAGCACACACACACACACACACACACACACACACAAAACTACTTAGAGATCACATACGTGGCAACACCAAGGGGCCACTGGAAGACGTCCTTGTCGTTGACCCAGGGGCTGTCGTACACGACAAACAGCAGGTCCACAAAGCCACCGTTTCTCTTTAAGTGTGGCCCGATCCAGTCGTTGTTGCAGTGCTCATTGCCCAGCAGGACCACAGCCACATGAGACACTGTGTGGGACTGAACCAGAGTCTGGACGTGCTCCAGCCACCTTGTGGAGTAAGCAACCTTCTGCTGCTCGCGGCCATTGAGAACCAGAACCAGGCTGTTCATATCCAGAGGGACGTGACCCTGGACCACAGCAGGACCTGTGTAGAAACTAAAGACAGAGAGGTCAGAAGAGTGAGACAAAGAAGAAGTCAATCAGACAGTTTGTTGACTTCAGCTGGAGCTTCATGCCGTGTCAAACGCAGACGACATGCTTCGGTTTTTAAACCTCACACACGTGACCTGTTACCTGAAGTCAGTCTTTCCTGTCTGCAGCTCCCCCTCTCGCCATTGAGCCACCTTGTCAGTAGGGTTGAGGGGTCCTTCTAAAATATGTTCCCAAAGGTAAAGCCCTGAGTAGAAGAGAAGGATTCACTGCAAATTAGCTACCAAAGTCTGAAAATGTTCAGTACCATTAGTTCCTCTGTAACTTAATAATCAAGCAGAATGGAGGCATGCACAAAAGTACGTAAAAAGCAAAAAAGACACCGAAAATAACTGAAGCCAAAACTAATTATAAGCAGAATTTTACGAAGAAATTTGAAGCCTTATTTCAAATGATTTTTGCAAAAATATGTAGCTTCAATTTTCAGACAAATATTAGACTCTGATGTGCAATTAAAATAAATAAAGTCAAGCACCAGTTCAGTGCTCGTTGTCTAACAGATCTTAAACATGAGTATTAGCACATGAGACACCTTCAAAAGCACAACGCTGATGTGACAGTTCAGACCTGCTGCAAAAAGCACAAGATGTGGCAGATAAACAGTGAGACTGGGCTTAGTTCAGTCAGACCACATCATGCATGCCTGAAGGTAAATAACAATCAGTGGGGAAGCAAAATAAACCCCGAAAGTTTCAGTCTGCTTGTATTTAATACAGTTTAATTAAAGCAAATTGTTCAGCCGAACTATAAGTTATAATCATAAATGTAGATTTCAGGGGAAGCGCAGGAGTATTTTAGTGTTTAGAACAAAAAGGCACAAAAGAGGACAGAGGACTGAATCATGCCACTATGTGTGTTCTCACTAAATGAAGCAAGTTGATCATCTGAAAGCAATACAGAATAACATATTCCACTATTCAGATTCAGATTTGTTTTATTGTCATTGTAACAAGTACAACGAAACGAAGGTGAAGTCCTTTCAGTGCAAAAATATAAGAACTTGTAGAACAACAAAACAATAAAAACTTAACTCTATCATATAAAGAACAAATTGGTGCATAAGAGTTCACAAGAATAAAGAAATTTAAGTTTTTAGTGCTTAAACTGTACCAGAGGACGATGCCCAGTCCGCTGCTTAATGCATCCCCCCGTTGTTCAAAATGAATCTACGTCCATTATTACAACATATTTAATTAAATATGAAGCTCTGTGAAGGTTTGTGGCTGCACAGTGGGAGTGATGCTGCTGGACTTCATGCACATTGCGGTAAGTATTTTGTATTTTTTTTAGGTTTTACATTGTGTGAAGTGGCACAAATGTTTCAGGAACCATTCTAGTAGACTGTGTTTGACAGAATGAGCGTTTGTGGATGAACTCTGCCACATGTGCTGCCCAGTGAGGCCGTTCAGTGGTGACAGCTCCTCAGCAGGCTCACCACCTCTCCTCACACTCACCGATGGCAGCTTTGCCCCAGATCTGGACCTTGTATCTTTTGGGTTTGTTCTTGTCAATCCGGCCCAGGTGCTGTTTGAAGGCCTCTCTCTTCTTGTTCAGAGCAGAGTTGTACTCCACCTGCTCGTCCTCCCACGGGTTCCACTCGTCTGCCAGGAAGGGAGCTCCGCCATCCCTAAACCCACCTGCAAACACAAAGCACAGCTTCTGCTCAGCTCTGTGCAGATCATTAAAATCTGCTCCATCAATTCATGCTCTTGCAGCGGCCTTCCTGCTCAGTGCACAGACCCGCCGGGGCTCCGGTCTCCTTCTTCACCACCCGGTGGACGCGGGAGATCACTCTGGTGCTGAAGAACACGTTGTAGGCGGCGTAGAGCGAGAACGCCACGTACGCGAAAATAATGAGAAGGAAAAGCTTTCTTTTTGGTATTTTCATTTTTATTGTCTGTATTTCTCAGGTTACCATTGTGTAGCTCGTCTCCGCTATTTTGCACAAGGACCCTTGTTTACATCACAAGGACCCCTGGACGCAGCTGTCTTGGAGAATGCCTGCGCTAAATTAGCCGTTACTTCAGATTTCTTTATAGTTTTTAGCATTTGTGATTGAATTAGCACCATATTTCAACACTGAAATGAACTGGGAACAGGTCAGCTGCATATAATCCCTTGATTTATTTAATGGTGGAAGAAGCACACAGGCCGGTTCGGTCAGACCACAGATATATACCAGACCTGCCGTAAAGCGGAACGTTGGGACGGCGGAGCTAGTTTCTGGTAGAGCCAGTCAGACGGACGCACGGAACAGTTCGTAGACACAGCAAGGTCGTGTCCCGTCCTGGGTAGTTGGAGTGTCTTTTGGACCAAGATGATGTGCACAGCCGTTCGGGCCGGGGTTCTGTCCCCGTACTTCCAGGTTACTAAACACGCCGTGAAGGGCCTGGTGTCCGCCGGAGCCAAGGGGCCGCTGCCCGCTGCTGGTAAGGCCGAAGGACGGACTTCTGGGGAGGGAGCTGAGCTGCGTCATGTAATGGTTAACAAGCAGCCACTGAAGTGTTTGGTGTTCTTATAACTGGTTATATAAGGCGCAAAGCTGGTTTATCTCTGATATCAGACTGCGTGTTGTTGAACATTAGCGCTGTTGCTAACGGCTGTTATGACGCAGCCGGTAAGTGGAACCTGTGACGCAAAACTGACCGACGGAACCAGAAAGAAGCCTCAACAGATAAACACCAGTGTCTGCTGGTGTCAGCACAAATATGTGATGTTGGAGGTATGTTTGTAGTAATATTTTAAAAGAAGAAGAAGAAGTGTGTTGTACAACCGCCGTTATGAAAAGGTTGAAAAGGTGAAATGCTTCTGAGGTCAAAGATCTGCTCTTCATCACTGCTCATGTTACTGAAGGAGACACCAAGTCATCAGTCCTTCTGATTATCTGGTTCTAGGTGCAGCTGAACAGTCAGTTTGTCCATCACCAACAACTACAATAACAGATTTTTTATTTATTATTATTATTATTATTATTTGTATTTTTTTTTTAAGCAGAACAACAACAGTTTGGTCTGTTGCCTTGGCGTGAAAGCGAGCTGTTCCTGTGGTTTGGTTTGTTGATCAGTCAGAATGAGCAATTTGAAGACGTGTCCTCGAGCTTTGAGGAAATGCGGTGATATATTTTGAGGAATCCTTACGGGTGTACAGTACATGAATCAATATTGATTTCATCCAAAAGTAGACATTTTAAACATTTATCACGGATCAAACTGAGTCATCCAACTGCTAAAGTCTCATGAAATAGTTCTGTGTGTGTTTCTAGATCAGCTGTTCATGAAGCTGCGAGTTACAGGAGACGGTGATCTTTGGCTGCAAACAGGAACAGGCTGAGATTTTAACAGAGAAGCTGAACGTTACAAACACTGAAAATGGAGCTTTAACAGAAAAGAAGACGCAGTGCGGCTCGCAATCTGTTGCCTGTCATTAACAACTGGTTCTCTCTTCTGTCTCTTTAGCTGCTGGAGGAATCCGCCTCGCCCATACAGACATCAAGATTCCCGACTTCTCAGAGTACCGTCGGCCTGAGGTTTTGGATCCCAACAAGTCCTCCCAAGACAGCGTCGATGCCAGAAGATCGTTCTCCTACATGATGACCGCAGGCACCCTTGTGGTGAGCATCTACGCTGCCAAGACGGTGGTCCACCAGTTCGTCTCCTCCATGAGCGCGTCAGCCGACGTCCTGGCCTTGTCCAAAATTGAGATCAAGCTCGGTGACATCCCAGAGGGCAAAAACATGACCTTCAAGTGGAGAGGAAAGCCCTTGTTCGTCCGTCACCGCACTCAGAAAGAAATCTCCGCAGAGGAGGCGGTGAATCTCGGCGAGCTGCGCGACCCACAGCACGACAAGGATCGAGTGACCGACCCCAAGTGGCTCATCGTTCTCGGCGTGTGCACCCACCTGGGTTGTGTGCCCATCGCTAACGCCGGAGAGTTCGGGGGTTACTACTGTCCTTGCCACGGCTCCCACTACGACGCCTCAGGCAGAATAAGGAAGGGGCCTGCTCCTCTCAACCTGGAGGTCCCCTACTACGAGTTCCCCAGTGACGACATGGTGGTGGTGGGATAGACGCAGGATTTCTACTCGAGTTTTATTTGAGCTCCTCTCTAGTGTTTAAGATTACTTTATGTAAGAGTTGGGAGTTACATAAACTGTGTCACGAATAAAGGCAGATTTCCAACTTTATTTAAGAGTAGTTGTGTCTGTTCAGTCTTTTTCTCTTCATTCTTGAGCTTGATGTCTGATTCAATGAAGGTTTCCTCTACGATTAATGATCTGTCCCAACATTCCCCACGACCTCTAGCTTTAGGTGTTTTGCCAGTAACGTATGAGGCCCAGTTATGATGTAAAGAGTGCTTCACAGAAAAGGGAGGGAATGACAGAAGAGTCTGAAGGCGGAAAAATAAAAAAATAAAACCGTGTGAAGAACCAAAACAGCAGCAGGTGCTTGAAACTAAATGTAAAAATGCTTCAGACTGGTTT